GTTAAATCCAAAAGGTTCTGGATGGTTAACTGGGTCAGAACCATCATCACTCTGAGCTGAAACATTCTGGAGGAAAATCTGGAAAAAATCTGGAAAATGGATGAAAATTAAAACTACTTCCTGTTCCTGTGACCCGTTTAAACGTTGAAGGACGGTTCTGTTGGGACGGGTGGCCCAGGTCCAAACAGAACCGGTTTCTACACGTGATGTGAAGTTTTTCTATATTCAGTCATTTCAGCTGTTTCCAAACCAAACTTCTACTTTTCATGGATTTGTTTTAATATTTTGGGTCAAACTAAAAATTTGAATAATCTAAAAAAAAATATGAAAAATGTTTCCCTGAATTAATGTTAATAATAATCCAGTGTCATTTATTTTTAAAATTTAATTTAAATTGAAATTTAATTCAGGTAATTTTTTATTAAACTAATTATGTTTAAATTTTAGCACTTTATGTTTTTTTAAGTGAACTTTCTACAGATTCAGATGTTGGAAATAAATGAGCCGCAGCTGAATGTGGGTTTGTCCAGGAAGAGGAAGAGTGTGTGTGTGTGTGTGTGTGTGTGTGTGTGTGTGNAGAGCAGGAACTGAGCGCTTTGTTTTGGGAGTTTTGGAGGAAAAAGGAGGGGAGGGAAGCGGAGTGGGCGTCAGTGGAGCGGCTACATCCTCTTTCCTTTTCCCAGTTTTCCCAGTCTTCCCAGTGGAACACCTCCTTCACCTTTTTCCTCCTCCTGCCTTAGCCTGACCTTTCCCCTCGTCTCGCTCATGAAATGATATTTCTATGGGTTGATTCTTGTAATTAAGGCTGGAGATATTTCAGATTTATTTCCAGCATTAATGGGCGGTTTAATGTCATCAGATTCTCTCTCTTTCTTCTTCATATGTTTTTTACCTACTACAGATGAAATTATTTATTTAAAACCGACCGATGAAGCTTCCTTGAACATGTTAGGATACGTCTACGGTCTATACAAAACATGTTCATTGCATTTTTTGTACAAATCATTCTTAGATCATCAGATTTCAGTCTGTTTTGTATGTTTTATGGTCATACAAAACAGACT